TTAAAAAAGCAAACACTTCTCTCTCTGTTAATAGTCCATGGTATCCTTCACTGACTAGAAATCCTTCATTTTGATTAGGTCAAATCCACCAATCTTTTGTCCTATGATTTATGCTTTCGGGGTCTTAAAAGAAGGTTGTTCTCACCCCAAGGTAACAAAGACAAGCTCCCATATCACCATCTACAAGCTTTAGAGTCATTCCCCCTGTGAGCTTCTGTCCTCACCACTTCTCTGAAATTGCTCTTATCAAAGCCGCCAACTACAGATTTCCTGGTTGCCCCAGTGCCCCCCTCCTATCTGACCTCTCAGCAGCAATCCTCACACTCAACTGCTCCCTTTTCCTAGAAACGCTCCTTTCTCAGCTTATCTGGCACAATTCAGTTGAGCGTTTCCTCCAACTCCACTGGCTGTTCTCTTCTAAGAGAACTCTGTATGTCAGGGTTCCTCATGGCTCACACCTAAGCCACTTTCTCCCTCCCAAGGCAATCTCACCCATTCCCATGGATTCAATTTATGGTGAGGATCCTCATATTCTATCCAGCCTATACCTCTCTCCTACAGAGTATCACAAACTCAATGCTTACTTGACATTTCCACTTGGAGGACTCAAGCTTAACAAGCCCCAAATGGAACTTGTTAATTTTTTTCCCTTCCAAACATGCTCCCTACACCACCCTTATCATTCAGTCATCTCCTTATCAGCTAACGAGTTAATGACACACAGTCTACCCAGATGTTCAAGCTAGTCATGTAAGGGACATCCTTGATTCCACTATTTATCTTAATCCCATCAATCAACAAGTCCTGTCAATTCCTCTCCAAAGTTTGGATAAATTCTATCTGGCCCTCTCCATTTCCATGGCTACCACTGTATCAGAGCATCCTGCTCACTAGTCCACTGATGTCATCAAGGTGCAAAGCTCCTGTAAAGCAAATTATGTAAAACATAATTGAGATTTTGCATTAGCATAACATTAACAATATCCATTTATAAGGACTAGTATAAGGTGAGGTCAGGGTTCTCAAGTTTTCAGATATCCCAAAATTAAGCATCATTAATGCTCCAGCTTTCACATTTTGTAAATGGAGTTATCAGTCTAACTTACATGATAAATGTGAGATGCTTTACTAAAATAACCCTCCACTATCCTCAATATTGCTAGGCTAAAATTGTGTTTCTCACTGTGTACATTTTCCTTAACATACAGAATTCTTAAAATACAGAGGTGGGCTATGTATGCTTTGATTCCTCCATGAAGGACTAGCCTCTATGGGAATTGCCCACCCACCATAAATTATAAAAATGGACAGATGAAGCTCCTTTCAGAAATTAAACAGGCAGCAGAGTGGAACTGTGAAGGAAGCAATGAGGTGGGCCCTGCTGCTGCCCAGTGTACTGCTGGTGGCATTGCTAGGCTGCAGCTCAGGGAGAGGGATCCAAGCAGAGCCCACAGCTCACTGGATTGAGGGGAAAGAAACTACAGTTCCTGGAGTCTGGGATGCCTAGAATTTGAGTTCCAGAGAGTTCTGGGAAGGCAGAGTCCCAGAGAGCGGGGAGCTGGCCAGAGAGTAGCTTCGGAGATGTACAGGTGTCCATGTGAGTCTGGCTGAGGGCTGATCTGTGCAAGCTTGACAGTGAACTCCTCCAGGATGAGGAAGCAGCACCAAAAAGCAGTAGCCCAGTCATGTCAGAGCCCACTCAGGGCTGGGAACAGGTCATGTTCCCATCAGCCAGGGTGGGAGACCTTGTAAGGGACATGGGGTAGAGTCCTCAGAAAGATCACACCTTGCTAGTGGGGCTATATTACTCCCAGGATAAAGCTGATCTGCAAAAAGACTGAAAAAGATCCAATTTATCCACAAGTCACTTAACCACATGCCGGAGTAAATCTAACACTGTAAAGGAATACAACAATGTAAAATCCACAATGTCTGACATTCAACCAAAAATTACCAACCATGCAAAGAAACAGTATGACCCAAAACCAGGAGAAAAAGCAAGCAAAAGAAAGGAGCCTAGATAGAACAGAGATCATGGAAGTAGTAGACAAAGATCCTAAGACAGCTATCATAAATCTCACAGACTTAAGCACGTAAAAAAGACACAAATATAAGGAGAAAAGAAACACTGGGCTATGTGCATTGCCAGTCCCCGTGAGGAAGGAGAAAAGTCTGACTGCTGTTAAAGAAATGAGCAATTATGCATATCTGGCACCCTTGTCATCCAAGCTAATGAATGTATCACCCTGGCAATAACTGGCTGATCCAAGAGGATCGGGGTCAGTAACAACTGTGACTCTGAAACACAAGGTGGAAAGAGCTCTGGTTTTGAAAACCCGGGTGTCCAGTAACATACAAGACAGCACCAACTATTTAGGGCTCCACAACTTATTTCTGACATGGATGGCTGTCTTAAGACAATATGGGGAAAAAAGTAAGTTAATATAAAACAAAATATTTTAAAATATACCTGATTTTTTCTACAAGCCCCTTTCTAAAAACGTGTAAGTGATTAAAGCCATCAACATCATTAAAATATTCCTGATCAAACAAATTGGGAAAGAAAAATTCCTGATATGATGGCTTTTAAAGAGGAGGCCTTAAGCGCTCGGCTGCTAATCGAAAGGTTGGTGGTTCGAAACCACCAGCAGCTCTGCAGGAGAAAAGACCTGGCGATTTGCTCCCATAAAGATTTCAGCCCAGATGACCCTATGGAGCAGTTCAAAGCCACGGCCACAGCCCACAACAACAACAACAACAAAGAGCTTGAGTTCACTTCAATCACGATACAATAGTGGAAACATCTGTGCAAGACCCAAAAACCCACTGCCATCGAGTCAGTTCTGACTCATAGCGACCGTATAGGAGAGAGTAGAACTGCCCCGTAGGGTTTCCAAGGACTGGTTGGTGGATTTGAACTGCTGACCTTTTTTTGGTTGGCAGCTGGAGCTCTTAACCACAGTGCCTCCTAAATACTGTTTACATATGAAATGCTTACTAAATTATTCAGTTCAGCAACACTGAGTCCTGAAGAGCTGGGTCGAGATAAGACAGTCCATCTTCCTCCTCTGCAGAGGCAAGACTTGGGCCACGGGACCAACGGGATGAAGGGAAAAGGAACGTTTTCCGTGACATGGTTTATAAAATACAACATCCATAAAGCATGTTTCTGTTTTTAATTTTTTTTTTTTTTGCTTTGATAAATCAATTGCTTCACAAAAATCCCTTTTAAAGACAACAATCCAAGAAAAACATACTGTTACAGTATTCACATTTTTAAAGATTGTCAGTTTCATTGACCAAATGTAACTAAAACAAAGGAAGATTGTGGAATTATTTCCATCACTAACTGCTGGAGACGGCCTTTCACAACTTGGGTCGATTACCTTACCGGGACCTTGGAGTTGGTTCAAAAGGAAAAAGTGCTCCGATGCATAAGAAACAGATCGTTCAACAGATGACACAAAAATTATTCACAGAACCCTTAGGTGTAATGCTTTAGCAACATTGCTTTGCAGTCTGTGAGCACACTGGATTCTCACTTTACTTTGCAAACTGGATAAATATTTAAATTGATCTTACTATCTGGGACCAACAGATTGAAAGCTGAGTTAGTCCATCAGCTGCAGCTTGTCTAGCCAGTCTAGCTATCTGCTCAACCACCGAGCAGAAGAAAAAATAGCAACATGCTTAATATGGGTCTCAAGACACATTCAAAAGGATTCTTCAGAAGGAAAGAATTTAACGAGAACAAAGCTGGGATTTAATTTGATGATTTGAAAACGGAAGTCCAAGGGGAATGTACTTTCACCAATTCCCTTGACTGTCTGAGGACTGGAAAATCAACATCTTTAAGGGCCAAGCCTGTCGGCAAGCATGCTGGGAAGGGTTTCAGGAATCAAAACGGCTTGCTGGGGAGAGCTACTTAAAGCACCTAGTTCTCTCTCCATAGGGGGAGGTTACAGGAGCCTCAGGCTACATCCACAGTGCCTTCTCTAAGCCATCTTTCTCCCAGTCCTGAGTTTAGCAAGTAAGAACTGTCGGCGCCAGGAGGCCGACGTCAGCTGCCCCTGGCACATACCTGCTGTTCAGCAGGGGCTCCCGGCTCTGGGCCAGAGCACCGACACAGCCCAGACCTCCACTAACATGGCCGGGCAGCCCTCGGGAACAGCAGTCCACGACCATGATTTCTGGTGGGGAAGGACAATGACCTGTACATGAGTGCCGCTCCGGTCACGTTTTCATTCATCTGAACGAGAGGGCAGGGCAGTGAAAAGGGGACGGAGGAAGCAAGGAGGGAAAGGAGGCCGGGCTGGCTGGCGTCCAGTTTCTGCTTTCAAGAAGTCTAACAAAGTGGGAATTTAAGTAAAGTTAAAATGAAAAATCACCTTTCAGACTTGTGTAGGCCTGACTTAAAATATTAAAAACATTATAAGGAATGCAATGGCTGCTTAAAAATGTTATTCTTCCCTCAAAGAGTTACAGCCAAGTATTTCTTTTAGTTAAAGCTCCTGAAAGTTTTAAAAACAAATTTCTATGTATTTTTTGCTGCCTCTAAGTTATCTATGAAGTAATGTCCTATGACTAATTTTAATTAAATGTGTCTTTTGGGGAAAAAAAAAATCAGTTCCAGGAGAAAATCTGCACTAGTTCAAAATATTCCTTCAATGTAAACTTGGTCCAATAACCAGTTACTACTGTTGAATCTCAAGGCTGATGCCCTTCACAACCATAACATTGTCATTTACAAACCAAAATGAAATTTGGGTCTTCCACTAAGATTCCAGAAGGAAATTCTCTACCAAACAAGGCAGCCTGTTGGTCTTCTCTCAGAGAGAAGCTCCGCTCCCCAGTAAACAAAAGCAAACCAAAGAAAGCAAAACCCAGTGCTCGTTCGGTTTGTCTTGCCCTGGTGGTGCAGTGGTTAAGCGCTCGGCTGCTAACCATAAGGTCGGTGGTTCGAACTCACCAGCCACTCCAAGGGAGAAAGACGCGGCAGTCTGCTTCTGTAAAGATTACAGCCTTGGAAACCCTACAGGGCAATTCTACTCTGTCCTACAGGGTTGTTAAGAGTTGAAATCAACTCGACGGCAGTGGGTTTGGTTTGATTTTGTCACCAGGAAAGCAGAGTTGTGAGAGTATTCCAAATCCCACGTGGTCAAGTCAGAGGGAAGGGCTCTGGAAATTCCAAAGCAAAAATTATAAGAAAATAGTGACACCAGGGCCAAGGGCAAGTGTGGGTGAACCCAGAGGAGGGGAGTCTTTGTCATCCCATCCTCACAGCTCAATTCATCCTTGTCACTTTGTCGGTATCTGTGATTGTGTAATAGAAGTTTGGACATTTGTTATTTACGCCAGCTCTGAACCAACAGGGTAGAGGACACTTCCTATTAGCTGATAATAAACATTCTATGCATAACATATGATTGATTTCAAAACTCTAAAACCATGCACAGCCAACATGGTAAAGATTACCATTAACTTGTGGCCAGATTTAAATCAGACTGAAAGAGTATGAATGGTAAGAGCTTTTAACTGGTTACTGGCTACCATTTCCACTTACCTGACCTGAAGTCCTGTTAGCAAATACCTTTAGATACGTGTTTAGATCAAGTGAGAGACACATCTGAGCACTGTATACAAACTGCAAACGGGACAGCCCGCAACTGCACCCAACAGTTGTTTCTCTTCTGGTAGTAAACGTAATTGCCCGCCCAGGGACAGCGAAGAACACGGAATGCTGGCTCACTTCAGGCAGGCCCACTAAATTTGGTCCAAATTGACATACTACGCGCGTATTGTTTCTTCTCTAGAAATTTTATCCTCAATATAGTCATAATCCAATTCATAGCGAATTTATAAAAATAGCTTTTTTATCCAATAATTCCAGCAAGGTAAAAATAGGCGTTTCTTTTCATATATAGCAAAGGAAACAGGCTCAGTGAATGCGAGAGAAATTAAACTTATGCCGACCACCGCGCGTTCACCACAAGCTCGCACACTGTTTCTGGGGCATCGCCCACCTGGCGCTGGCAGCTCAGGTGCGGGAGCTTCTTTCCAACACGTGGGCACACAGGTCAGCCGGTCCACAGGACCTGCGGTCAGCACGGGGCCCAGGCCAGGCTGCATAACCATAGGACGCGGCAGCACTCTCCCTCAATCTACCGGCCCTGGGCGTCTCATTCACCGCGTTCCTGGCGTTAAACCTTTAAAGAATTTTCTTAAATTTAAACACACACACACACACGCACGCACTCACACTCATACACACACATTTGAAAGAAGTCGCTGAACCAGCAAAGACGCTCTTTAAGCTTACTATGAAATACAAAAGGGCACTCTTCTATATCTACATATAAAACATATTAGAAATAAAACTCGTGTAAAACGTTTGCTGTGCAAACTGTAAAAAGTCAGGTGAGTCTGCGCCTGGCCTACTGCAGGGAGTCGCTGTTCTCCAAGACCAGCCCGCTGATGTGGGTGGTGGTGAGCTCGCCCCCGTCATCCTCTGCGCTGTCCACAGACTCGTCTTCGCTCTGGCCCGCCATCATGACCTGCTGCACCGCCAGGGTGGCCCCGTCCGAGGACAGAGACTGCAGGCTGTCCACGTTCATGTTCACGGGTGTCGTGATTGTGACCACGGCTCCTGGCAGAACACAGGGATGTCATTATTGGCGGGCATACGTGACATCACCGCACTGGTGCTGTCTGCTGGTCTGAGCTGTCATCAAGACCCCTGTGTATGTTTACAGGATGCGTGCCAGGGATTTAAGAAACCATCTCTAGAATTCGCCTCAGCCAAGCTAAGCCTGTGGGAATAAGGTCTAGGTCCGAATACTGCATTTTTAGGCAAAAGACTCGTGCCTTCTACATTTGTTTGCCGACTGACATCCCCTCAGGTAGGCGCTCTATGCTAATTTTTTTACATCAGCATGTAAAAAAAAAATTGGCCTAGCGGCAGCGCGCAGAGAAATAAATAGTTAGCAAACAAATGTAGAAGGGCCACGTAAAAATCAATCGGCCTCTACGGAAGTGGGGAATATAAAGAACATGAATCCCGGGGCAAAAAGCAAGTAGTGCAAGGAGAACAAAGGAGACCAGTGAACACAGAAGAAACACACACAATATAATGAGAAACGGAAACTTAGAGCAAAAAGGAGAATAATGATGGAATAAGGAGGGCAGAGTCAGACAGGACAAGACGAAAACCCTGGAATGTGCCAACTCCCATCTTGCCCCTGGTCTGATGGGCAAAGGGTTTCTCGTGCCGACTCTGACCACGAGATCTCGTGCTGTCAGTTTTCAGTCAAGCACCATGGGTGTCTCAGCAATGCTGCTCTGTTGGTGACGGATGGGAGGGGCTCCCTGAACCCCACGCCTTTCTTTAGGGAGGAGACGGACACCGGTTAGACGCACTGATAAAAAGCCCACACATGCAAGAGTGACTCAGGAACATCTCCCAAATGACCGAGAAGAGGACCATCAACCTTCTCAACCAGCAGACGCCACAGGAGTGGACGCAGCCTGGGGGCCCGGGCTCTGCTCAGCAGAGGGAGGGCGTCTCACCCCACTAGGCCTCTACGACTCTGTCTGTCGGCTCCTTCATAAAGCTAGATCTGATCAGCCTGGCTTCTTCCGCCTCTGCTGTCTAGCACAAGAATCTTAGCGCTGACCTCTGTATGTAAATTCTCTAATAAAGCCTTGTCTGATCGACCTAGCTTTTTCTGCCTCTTTTCTCGGAATCTAACCTGTGCCCCTAGGAGCCACTCCTGCACCTGGTACAGTGGGGTGCGACAGAGGGGGCCTCCCCAGGAGAGCAGAGACGCCTGGTGGTCGGGGCCCTGCTCAGCACCGGAGGGCCCGTCCGGGAGAGCAGAGACACCTGGTGGTCGGGCCCCGCTCAGCACGGGAGGGCCCGCCCGGGAGAGCAGAGACGCCTGGTGGTCGGGGCCCCGCTCAGCACAGGAGGGCCCGCCCGGGAGAGCAGAGACACCTGGTGGTTGGGCCCCGCTCAGCACGGAAGGGCCCACCCGGGAGAGCAGAGACGCCTGGTGGTTGGGCCCCGCTCAGCACAGGAGGGCCCGTCCGGGAGAGCAGAGACACCTGGTGGTTGGGCCCCGCTCAGCACAGGAGGGCCCGTCCAGGAGAGCAGAGACACCTGGTGGTTGGGC